GGCTGGGATGGATCCTGGCGGGTCAATTGGGCAATCCGCCCGGGCCACCGGAAACAATTAGATCTTTCCACGCAACAGTGACCAACGCGCAGCTTCACGAGCAGTTGAGCGGGTTTTGGCGACAGGAGGACGTTGCCAACCAGCCAGTCAACTATAGCATCGACGAGACACGCTGCGAGAAGCACTTCCTAGAAAGCGTGACCCAAGCCACCAGCAGCCGATACGTGGTGAAACTTCCTGTCAAGGAACAAACAATCGCTAAGCTCGGCGAGTCCGAAGGCACTGCGCGGAAACGATTGCAGGCACTCGAGAAGCGGTTTAAGCGAGAACCATCTTTGAAGCCACGCTATGAAAAATTCATCGACGAGTACGCTGCACTTGGCCACATGAAACTGGTTTCCCCACAACCTGACGAAAGGGGATCCGTTTACTTGCCACATCATTGCGTGTTCAAGACCACATCGACGTCATCGAAACTACGAGTTGTATTCGATGCTTCCTGCAAAACGACCACGGGAGTATCTCTAAACGACGCGCTCATGGTAGGGCCCGTCGTCCAGCAGGACTTGATGTCCATTTTAATGCGCTTCCGCACTATCCGGTACGTTTTTTCTGCCGACATAATAAAAATGTACCGGCAAATTTGGATGGACCCGTCGCAGACGTCACTTCAGCGAATCTTGTGGCGAGGCGACACAAACTCGAACATCAAGACATATGAGCTGCTCACCGTCACCTACGGTACCGCCTCGGCCTCGTACCTGGCAACGAGGTGCCTCAAACACTTAGCAGAGCAACACGAAGCTGAGTATTCGCTGGGATCGAAGATCGTCAAGCGAGACTTTTATGTAGACGATCTATTGACGGGAGCAGACACGCTCCGCGAGGCCAAGCTAATTCGGGTGGAAATCATTTAACTACTGCGGCTAGGATGCTTTGAGTTCAGCAATTGGGCTTTAAACTGCCCGGAGTTAATAGAGGACAGCGCGAATCAGGATCAAGGGCCGGTCACAATTGACGATAACGCAACTTCCCACATCTTGGGAATGAGGTGGGATCAAGTCGAGGATACCTTTCTAATCTCACACAACGCTGCCGAAGATCACGACAACATCTCGAAGCGTACGATATTGTCGGGTGTCGCCAGACTATTCGACCCTCTCGGACTCCTCGGTCCTATCATCGTCACAGCGAAACTCATCCTCCAGGAGCTGTGGCAGGCGGGAAGCCATTGGGATGAATCGGTGCCGCAAGATATCCACACGCGTTGGTCAAGGTTTGAGCGACAGTTAACCGACTTAAGGAAATTGCGGGTTCCACGGTGTGTGAAATTCTCCACGAATCCACAACGCGTGGAAATACACGGGTTCGCCGACGCCAGCCAGCGGACGTACGGAGCCTGTTTGTACGTAAGAACTAAAGTAGACAGTGACCAATACCGCACCGAATTGCTATGTTCCAAATCGCGCGTTGCACCGTTGAAAGCGATATCGCTGCCAAGTTAGAACTATCAGCGGCATTGTTGCTATCGCATCTACTGGAAAAGGTTTGCGCATCATGTGATCTAGCCAACATGGAAATCTTCCTGTGGTCAGACTCCACGATTACACTAAATTGGATAAATTCATCTTCCAGAAGGTGGGAGGTATTTGTGGCTAACCGGATTGGGGAGATACAACGTATAATCGAAGTAAGGGACTGGCGGCACATTGCCTCAGCCGACAACCCGGCCGACATCTTGTCGCGCGGACTCTACCCATGTGAGCTAGGGGACGCGAGCTTGTGGTGGCACGACCCTGCATTTCTGCAATCTCACAAGAATTGCTGGCCAAGCGGAGACTTCACCCGCCTGGGGGGCGAGGTTCCCGAAGAGCGAAGAGCAGTAGCGGTCGTCCTCATCGCCGATTGTTCGATCATCAACGAATTACTGAAAAAACATTCCAACCTTAACAAGGTATGCCGCATCATGGCGTATTGCCTCCGATGGCGCCAGATGCATCGATCGAGCGCACCGACGAAATTCGTCTCACATGGCGAGATATCTTACGCCCTCGAAGTCGCGTGTAGAGCGGTGCAGAAGGCAGCTTTCTCCAACGAATACAACCAGCTAAGCAAGAATGAAACCACCAGCGCTTCTAGTAGACTATTGCCTCTAGCCCCCTTCCTCGATAAGGACGGATTAATTCGCGTAGGGGGGAGATTAAAAAATTCCGGTTTGCAATTTGACGCGTGTCATCCCATATTGCTTCCGCGTGAGCATAAACTAACGAAACGCGTAATAAGCCAGGAGCATGTACGCAGCCTGCATGCGGGAGCACAAGCCACTATGGCCGCCGTCAGGCAGCGTTTTTGGCCACTTTCTCTTCGTTCCGCCGTGCAAAAAATTGTTAGAAATTGTGTGGTATGCTTCAAGGCCAAGCCGATTCATTCGGAGGCTTTAATGAGCTCGTTGCCGAGCAGCCGCGTCACCGTATCAAGGCCATTCTCGCAGTGTGGCGTGGATTACGCCGGCCCGATCATCATAAGGGAGGGAAAACGACGCAACGCCCGCAACCACAAGGCGTACATTTCGATTTTCGTATGTTTCGCAACGAAAGGTGTTTATATCGAATTGGTGAGCGATTTAACCTCTGAGAGTTTCGTGGCGGCGTTGCGGCGTTTAATTTCCCGAAGAGGCAAGCCCTCTTGTATATATTCCGACAATGGCACCGCCTTCGTCGGGGCCTACAAGCAGCTCAAGGAATTCTATGAATTCCTGAGCGATACTCAAACGCAGAGCGATGTACAGCAATTCCTTCGCGAACAACAAACGACCTGGAATTTTATTCCCCCGAACGCGCCGCACTTTGGCGGCCTATGGGAAGCCGCTGTAAAGTCAGCCAAGTACCACATGTCGCGAATCATCGGTAAGGCCCATTTGACATTCGAAGAAATGTCGACAGTGCTGTGCGAGGTGGAGGCAATTCTCAATTCCCGGCCGCTCACGCAGCTGAGCTCTGATTCAAACGACTTGGCATATCTTAGTCCAGGCCATTTTCTAATCGGTGCCCCGCTCAACAGCATTCCTTGCCACGATGTGCATGACATAAATGAGAACCGGCTAACGCGCTGGCAGAGAGTGGAGCAAATACGCCAGTATTTTTGGCAAAGATGGAGTAATGAATATCTCCACTCCCTGCAAGAGCGAACCAAATAGACTCAATAAGGGCATACAGTTGAAACCTAAGCAACTGGTGCTCATTCGACAACCGGGCTTGGCTCCGTTACAGTGGCTCCTAGGCAGAGTGCAGGAAGTGCACACCGGTTCCGATGGCGTCACGCGCGCCGCTACCGTCCGTACGACCAAGGGGTCACTAACAAGACCCTTGTCCAAACTAGCGATATTACCGATAGACGTAGATATAGATTAAGTTCATGCTGCCGTTAACAAAGGTTCCTTCCTGTGATAGAATCAAAGATTATTTTCGGTTTGAGTTTGTACCCTCGTTATTGTTAACTGTTGCGAGCGTTTTCCAGTGTTATGCGAAAATCTTTTATGTTGTTCCAATGCGTTAATTTCTTATAAGTTAGTTAAGTCTGAACATTGTTATGCGAAAATCTTTATGTTGTTCCCACGCGTTAGTCTCTGATCAGCTCTTTAAATCTGAACATTGTTATGCGACGGGTTCATTTCGAATTTTGAAAGTGCGTCCTTTCAAGGGGGGCGGCGTTGTACCGTAACTTTGGTTCCCACATCATTTATATTTCCCGCGCGCGATTCTTCCCGGGATCTCCCGAGCGCTATCAGAGAAAGCGTCTCCGCCAATCCTATCGGTTCCCTCGCGTACCGCGTGGCAAGCTATTGGCGAATGGGCTCGTTGCCCCTCCACTTCGACGGCAACGTATGGCAGGCGAAGAGACGCGCGTCTCTGTATGTGTGTGTGTGTAACTGTGTACGTCCATGCGTGCGAGCGGATCGAGTGTGTTTTCTTTTATGCTACCCATGGAGAATGTATAAGGAGACCGAACTAGGTCTGGATCACGTCACCGAAAGTGGGCCGACATTTTTGCCATCCAGTGAATTAAAATTTTGCCACTTGTAGCGCTGGCGTCGCCTTACGCGATTAAGGGCCAGTTTCACAAACATCGGTTAACTTGTTAACTAGGGTTCAGTCGACTCCCTATCTTTTTTCATCTTATTATTTAAGAAGAGACAGCGGATCAATTAACCTTCGGTTAGCAGTTAACCGACGTTTGTGAAACTGGCCCTAAGAATTCGCTCATGAGTTACCGATCTTGATCTCGTAGATACAGCGTATAACTGTTGTTATCTGGAGGTCAATTTCTGAAACTTACGAAAATTACAAAAGTGAGTGAATATTTATAATTTCAATCTGTGAATTCGCTTACTTTTGTAATCTCCACAAGTTTCAGAGATACACAATCCATCTCCTCATCTTATTTACAGATCGGATGTATATTATATAACCACGAAAGCTTCATGCATATGACAACCATGTGTCACGTACGAATGCGAATGGAGTTAGTTGATGACAGCGCTCCCAGTATTGCTTTTCAGAACGTCTGGCGGGCACAAACATCGGCCCATTCTGATTACGGGCAGTTCGGTCTCCTTATACATTCTCCATGGTGCTACCGTCGCCACGAGATTTCAATAAAACTTCCCAAGGAGAACAAAAAAGTCAAAATGATGTCAAAATGATGTCAAAATATAATCAAATTTTAGTTCGTCAAAATGATGTCAAGTTGCATAAATTTTTGATGCTTTCTTGATGTCAAAATCGTGACATAATTTTGACATTAGTTTGACTATTCGTAATATGACACCCAGATAGAACATAATGACATCATTATGACTATCACAATTTTATTTATCACATAAAAGTTATCTGGACATATCTAGAAAACTTTTAAATGTTGAATAAAATTATGATAATGTCATAATGACGTCTTTATGAATTTTATGTTCTACCTGGAATAGAGACATGTAGATAGTAATATATAAACGTTATATTTGACTGCTTATGACATATTTATTACAATCATTACATATAAATTGCGTATAATATTGACTTATAAACATTGCACAAGTTATAGTTATATTGCAGTCTATTATTTACGTTGACTTGATGTATTCAGCCAACGTTTCACAGATTCTTCAGCATTTTTTAAAGTTTGATTTTTAAAACGCCCATTATGGCACCTAAAAAGAAACAAAAGAGAAATAAGTTACCTTTTGATTTCTAGTTAATCACCGCAGTTATATTGAATTATGACATTAATGAAAAAGAGAAAAAGAGAGATAGAGGGAAAGAAAAAAAGAAAAAATACGATAAACACATTATACATATACAAATATTATTATACAAATAAAGATACTTACAAAATAAAGCCTCTTTAATTTGTGTTCCATGAAAAGAGATTTTTACTCCTCTAGTTCCTTTCCAACTAATTTGTCTTGCAAGTTCATTATGCAATAAAATGGACATCAGGCAGTTAGCAGCATTCCACTGATCAGAATCATCAAGAATACGTGCATTAAGGTAACTGACCTTCAAAACATACAAAAAAATAAATGCAAATTATGTAAAGAGAGAGAAAAAGAGAGAGATGTTCATATGTTCATATAGAAGATATAAATGAATATCTTTAGAAATCAGTTATACTTACAAACTAAGAAAATGCAATTTTATCATTCAAAAATTCATCGAATGCTTGAAATGACTTCTCATCTCGCAATGGAAGAGGACAATTTTCAGGCCTCTCTATGACAGTTTCACCAGAAAATATTTCGTTTAAGATACGGCGTTGATTAATTAGAACTATATCAAGTTTACTTGATACATCACGAAGCAAATCTCTATCAAGATTAGATACAACCGGTCCTGCAAAAATATAAATTAATTATCAAAAAGAGCAATATATATAAATATTCGTTATATAAAATAGAATTATATAAAATACTATAAGGATCATTACCATGAAGCGTTTTCAATTGGCTTAAGACTGTCGTCAACATATCACGATCTGTATGCGATATACCTAATGGACATAATATATTAAAACAATATTGGCACATAATATTAAGAAAAAGTATGAAAATTATTTTTAAAAATGAGATTGTTAAATTATATTACCTTGAAATGGTGGTGAATTTTGAGATGCTTGATTTTCATTGTTCGTTGACATCAAAGTCCTTTCTTCCTCTAAAACGCTATTTTTATTTTTTGGAGTCTCGGAGTATATCATATCAGTAAGATTTTCGTGGTTATTGCTATCTTTACCATCTACAAATTTTTGAATTGTTATTTCTATTTCCAAAATTAGTTGGATAAAACAATATGACACGTAAAAAAAGAAAAACAATTCACAATTATATATTTAAATTAATGCAAGAACATCTAAAAAATAAAAAAATTATGTATGTAATGTACCATCATCAAAGGGGTCACAGATGATTTCGCTTTATTAATATTTCTTAAGAAAGTTTTGTGTTTTCTCCCTAAGCGATTGCATTGCATTTGTACAGAAAGTGTACTCATAGATGTTGAAGAACTGTCTGATGTAGGTTCATTATTATTATTCATAGTCGATTGAGGAGACAAAGACTTTTTGGAAGCTGTAACAGTACAAAATAAATTATGCAAGGAACAAGAAATATAAAATTATTCATAATATAAGAAATCGCTATTACTTGGAAATTAAATAACTTACCATCAAAAGAATTAAGACAGTTTTCTTTGTCTAAATATTGAAAACTGTGCAATTTTCTGAGACTTGCTATTATCTGATTGTAAGGGTTTTGCGATTATACATTTTTCTGACATTTGTATGTTGCAATCTTCAGAAGATAACTGTCTTTGTTCTACAACTTAAATTACAAAAAACTATAAGACTACTTATAACAAAGATTATATAAAAGACTGTTATTAGAATTTTATAAACACAGAAATAATTCACAAAACAAATAAGGAAAATAAATATGCACATACCCTCATTCAATATTGAAAAAGAATGCTGCTTTACCGGATTTTCCTTTAATGTATTATTGTTATAAGTTAAAGAGCTTATAGATTTAACACATGACTTATTACGGGAGAATAATTTCCCAACAGATGTGGCTTTTTGTTGAAATACAGCTGACGTTTTCACAGATTTATTTTTAAGAAGCGCTTTTAATTTATTCGGAAGAAGAGCATTTGGTGCTGGTATCTCATTGCTTGTACCACAAAGAATGTTTGAAGAATCATCTGCTTCTTTATTTTCTGATGAAGATGATATACATGGTGTGTATAAAAAGTATCGGGAATATTTTTTTCCTATCGCGACTGTAACTCGCAGCCTGTTCGCACCAGGCGGGCTCAATGGTGGGAATTCTCAGCTTCAAAACGCACTAGGCGTCAGTCGCCTGCGAGCTTCCGTGCGAGGTTCATCGTTGATTTAGTGAACCTTTGTCGAGGGACTCGGTGCAAGCTCCAAAATGCAGCGAACACTTGAACAGCGCTACGCGGCTAAGTTCTGTGTTTGTGGAAAATCTGGTACAGAGACATTGGCCATGATGTCTTTCAAAAACTACAGTTTTTAAGTGGCACAAACTGTTCAAAGACCGCCGAGAGAGTGTGGAGGACGCACCCCGCGCGGGACGCCCGTCAATGTCAAGAACCGACGACAACCATTCGAACACTTAACCGCCGGTCTGAGTTCAAGAACCGACGACAACGTGCAACGTGTGCGTGCCTTGTTGAACTCAGACCGGCGGTTAAGTGTTCGAATGGTTCAAATGGTTCCGCGTCGACAATCGCTAGTGTGATTTGGCCATAAGGAGCGTACGGATTCGTCGAGGCGCATCACGTGCAATGGTGGGAATTCGAGCCCGACATCCTCGCGTTTTCCCCCTTCCACTTACGCACACAGAGACCCTCCGTCGAGTCGTCACACGGATAGACGGATAGATATGACTACTTTTTATATTATACATTTTTATAATAATAAGCATTTATACAGTCGAGAAACGTATCACATTTTCTAAATATTAAGAAAAAAAAATTTTTTTAAAGAAGTCAATATAAAGTCATTTTTATGTCATCTGAAATTAAGATTTTTAATCATGACCAAAAAATGACGTAAATTTGGTCAATTTGATGTCAAATTGACATTATTTTGACTTTTCTGTTCTCCTTGGGTTATTAAAAACTAAAATCCGAGCAAGCCAAGTGTCTTACTCGACCACGCCCGATCTCCGAGACGAGCCCAGAGATTACTTGCGTGGAGGCCACAAGGCCTGCAAGAAACAAACACCTTCAGCTTCTGTTTTATTTCCTGCAAACCGGTCTGGTTATTATACCAGATATCCAAAATTTTCCTATTGATATACATACTAAAACTTTTAATCAACCACAAATGTTCAAAATTTTGAATCAAAACTTTATTTGTCATCCAGCTCTCGAGAACATTTTGAAGAATTCGATCAATCTTGGAAATCTCAGATTGGCTTTCGTCAAGTAAACTTGACGTCACGCATATCACGAAAGGACATTGTACATCGGGTTCTGGCACATTTGGCGGAAGCACAAAGAAAATATATTCATCTATATACAGGG